TCTATTTTATTTATTTTATTTAGTGTATTTTAATATTTTATTTCAGATTTCTTTCTTATTTCTATATATTTTTTTATATTTTATATATTTTCTTTCATGTATTCCAATATTTACTTTGATATTTCTGTACTTTCATGTATTCTAATATTTGATATTTCTATATATTTCTTTATATTTATTTCCTTTCACATATTCTAATATTTTCTTTGCTATTTCTTTGCTATTTCTATGTATTTATTTATATTTTATATTTTTTCCATGTATTCTAATATTTACTTTGATATTTCTATATATTTCTTTATTTTTTATATATTTTATTTAGTGTATTTTAATATTTTATTCAGATTTCTTTCCTATTTATATATATTTATTTATATTTTATATATATTCTTTGATGTATTCTAATATTTACTGTACTATTCCTGTATGTTTCTTTATTTTTCATATATTTTCTTTAGTGTATTGTAATATTTTATTTCTTATTTCTTTCCTATTTCTATCTATTTATTTATATTTTATATATTTCCTTTCATGTATTCTAATATTTACTTTGATATTTCCATATGTTTCTTTATTTTTTTATACCTTTTCCTTCAGGAGCCAAATCCCGGGAAAACCGGGGAGGAGGTGGGGGAGGGACGGGGGCGTGCCCCTCCCCCAGACCCCCCAAATTTGGGGGCCCCGAGCCCCGGGGGGGAGGAGGAGGAGGAGGAGGAGGAAGGAGACACGGAGAGCAGCGAGAGCCCAGGTCTGGTGGGATTTTGGGGGATTTTGGGAGGATTTGGGTGGATTTCGGAGGGTTTTGAGCAGGTTTTGGGCATATTTTGGAGGATTTTGGGGGATTTTTGGGTGGATTTTTGGGCAGATTTTGGAGGATTTTGGGCAGATTTTTTGGCACATTTTGGGAGGATTTTAGGCAGATTTTGGGTAGATTTTTGGGCGGATTCTGGGTGGATTTTTGGGTGGATTCTAGGCAGATTTTGGGCGGATTCTGGGCAGATTTGGGCGCATTTTGAGCTCCCTGGGTGTTGATCTTTGGCCTCTCCCATTCCAGGGCAGATTTTGGGCAGATTTTTGTGCCGAATTTGTGCAGATTTTTGGGCAGATTTTGGGTGGATTCTGGGCAGATTCTGGGTGGATTTTGTGCAGATTCTGGGTAGATTCTGGGCAGATTTTGTGTGGATTTTTGAGCAGATTCTGGGGTGGATTTTGGGCAGAATTTGGGTGGATTTTGGGTGGTTTCTGGGTGGATTTTGGGCAGATTCTAGGCAGATTTTGGATGCATTTTGAGCTCCCCGTGTGCTGATCTTTGGCTTCTCTCTTTCTGGGGTGGATTTTGGGTCAGTTTTTGTGCGGAATTTTGGCCAGATTTTGAGTAGATTCTGGGCAGATTTTGGGGTGGATTCTGGGCAGATTCTGGGAGGATTTTGGGGTGGATTCTGGGCAGATTCTGGGAGGATTCTGGGTGAATTTTGGGTGGATTCTGGGCAGATTTTGGGTGCATTTTGAGCTCCCCGTGTGCTGATCTTTGGCTTCTCTCTTTCTGGGGTGGACTTTGGGTCAGTTTTTGTGTGGAATTTTGGGCAGATTCTGGGTGGATTTTGGGCAGATTCTGGGTGGATTCTAGACGGATTCTGGGTGGATTCTGGGCAGAATTTGGGTGGATTCTGGGCAGATTTTGGGTAGATTCTGGGCGGATTCTGGGTGGATTCTAGGCAGCTTTTGGGTGGATTCTGTACAGAATTTGGGCAGATTCTGGGCAGAATTTGGGCATATTCTGGGTGGATTCTGGGCAGATTCT